CTCCCTGCTTCTAAAAAAGCAGCAAAGGCAAGGTTGAGATTCAGATGCCATGCTGCCCCATCACCATACATGGTTTGGAAACTGGAAGCACCTTGCAGGCTTTTCTTTCTCTTTGGGCTGACATACTTTGCCCTGCCACCACAGTTCTTGCTACTTATAGTTGTTTTCAGATATTAAATCCAGGATTACAAGTTGGTTTCAGTCAGTTGTTCTAAAGCTAATTAAGGCTGCTGATGAGTATGTTTGTAGCAGCTCAGATGTAACACTGAACCATAACTAACTCTAACCAGAAAAAAGGATATGTATAAAAGTATGAACCTTAGAGGCTTTACCACTTGCTACACCATGGTTCAGTGATCAAGTAGTATGACTTCTGAACTAAACCACAGTTTTCAAGACGGAAAAAGAAATCCTTTGGCATTATGAATGGTGTTCTTAGCCATAGCGATGACACATCCTTTTAGAAAATCAGTGGAAACTCACAAGACTTCATAGCACTTGAAACAAGGTGACAGCCAAAGTGATGCAAATGTGTACTTCCATGCAGAGCTGAAAATGTTGCATGTGGATCATTTGGTTAACACATGTGCCCTGTCAGTCTTGAAGGTGTGGCCTCATTTTTCCATCCTTTCCCCCTCCCTCCTGCTCCTCCCAAAGAAGAGGAAGAAGAAGAAGCAACAACAGTTAAAGGTGCAGAGACTGAGGAACCCAAATCTGCTGCCTCCCTTGGTGAGGAATGTGGCAAAATGAGTGGTCCTGCTGGGCAACAAGCAGAAAGCTTCAGAGAGGCCCAGCAGGGTTCCATTCCAGAAGACCAAGTGGCTCGCAATGGGGAAAATGTAACTATAGTCGAGGAGGAATGCCCAGAAGGCAGACTGCCTTCCTCTGGTGAGGAAGGTGTGTCCTCCTTAGGGACTTGCATGTGTTGACTGCATATGCCCTGCTCTCAGGCTTTCTCCGCTCTGCTCCATTACTTGTCTTCCCATTTATTATCTTCATGATTAATGCTCTTGTTATTATGCTTGAAGAGTGCATAACAGGCAAGCCGATTGCTGTATGATGACATGGTTTACAACCACTGAAGCTGGTTCCTGGCTTTTTACATCATTTTTTTCTACTCATGATACAGAGTGCTATGCAGCCAAGCTGATGTGCCACAAAGCCTTCCCTCCCCACTCATTGCAAATGTGTTTGCCAGTCACATTGCTGATCTGTGTATATTTTTTTCTTTTGTTTTTGGTGCAGAGGTTCATATGCTTTTCATTTCAAGAAACAAACTGATTAACCCTGACTATGACATAAAGAGGCTGAATTTGTATAGATGCTTTTGTCTGTGGTGTGAAATGTATTCCTGCTTGTGCTTCTGACTCAATTTTACCAAGGCTATTGCTTCTTATGTCATAACTTTGCCATTCATTGCAGTCCACTGTGACCCTCCTTTGCCATTGCCAGAATTTTGAGTTTTCATCTACTTTGCCTTTCCCAGTTGAAAACCCTCAGTACAGGGGAGAAACTTTACATGGATCCCACTGATGTTCTGCATCACTAGTTCAAACAAATCATACTGAAATGCTTTTACTTGAAGAAGAACTACATAGAAGCATCAGGATCTGGTCTTTGTTTACTCCTGATTAGCCAGATTAGGCTGTGATCCAAAGTTCTGAAGAACCGCCACTCACATTTCTCTGCATATAGTTGCACAAATGATCATGCTAGGAATATTTGTAGAACACCTAGCTCAGGCTAAAGAAGTTGCACATTTAGAATACTCTTCCCTAACCTTGTGTCCTCCAATGTATTGGGCTGCAACTCAGAGGACTATAGGAAGCAGCCTTATACTGAGACAGACCATTGGTTCACCTTTACCAGCAGGATGGGCACGGACTAGCAGCAATGGCTCTTCAGGTTTTCTGGCAGGGATTTTCCCAGCCTTGCCTGCAGATGCTGGGGATTGATCCTGAGCAGCAAAGTGTGTGCTCCCCTGGAGCCCCAGGCCTGCCCATCATCTTCACCCACAATGGGCAGGTTGGAGGTGAGAGAAAACTAGTACAGAACAAGTATTGTTGCTGAGGAAAGAATTGCCTTGACCAACTTAACTTTTTATAGACCTTTGAGGATGTCACATAGAGCTGAGGTAGATAGCACTAGAGGGAGTTAACCCTTTTTTCCTGGTGAAAATTCCTAATCTCCAAGCTGTTTGCTCTAAGGGCAGAGCACCTGTCTAGAGTAGGGTGACTTTAATCAGGAAAATGGTATGGGTGGGTGGTACAGATTTCCCCCTTCTGTAGTGCTGTAGTCTCAGTCCTCCTTGGATGTAGTCAATATTTTTGAAACCCATAGGAGATCCTGTTCATTTACAAAGTGATAATATATTACACACTTGAACCTTTACAGTATTTCAGTCAAAGTCTCTCACCAAAGGCTGCTAATGAAACTTAAGCCATGGTGTGAGAGGACAGGTTTAATATTGATCAACAGTTTCTTCAAAAACAGTGGAGAGTAGGAATAAAATGACATCTTTTGCAATGGAAAGAATTGTGCCACCCACCCACACAGATCTGAATTGGTGCAGGTCTCATTTAACTTATGCATAAGTGTCCTTCCAGTAGTTAACATTTTGAGATGACAGCAAATTATTGAAGAAGCCAAAATTCCAAGCACACTCTGAAGAACTCCAAAGGGGTCTTTCCTAAATGATGAATAGGCCACAAAATGGCAGATGAAATTCAGCATAGCTCTAAAAAAGTTATTCTCACTAAATGACATACACTAACTTCCCACAGTCATTAAGATGCTCTGTAGTCTGCCTGGAAAAGAGTTACATATTAATCAGCTGGGGGAGCGGCACCATGGTGAACAGTTCGTGAGAAGTGTCATCCTAGCATGCTGTCACAGTGAAAATTAATACTGGGGTGACAAAGTGGGAGCATTTTTTCTATGGAAAAAGGCTTGAGAGATTTAAGAACAATGCTAGAGAAGTCTTTTGTCTTAATATAAAAGAATAAAGGCCTTCTCTCCTTGTCATTAGCTTCCTTGGGCGAAATAATCCAAGGTGGTTAATGACAAATGAAGCCCTTTGAAAAACACACGATTTATGGAATTGGTATTATTTGTTTGCTTATTATATTTAAATCCAGCATTTCCTCCAGGAAGCCCAGGCAGTGCATATGATCCTCCTGCTCTGCATTTTGTCCTCAAAACAGTCTTGTGAAGTAGGGTAGGTTGAGAATTAGTGACTAGCCCAAAGTCCCCAGATGAGCTTCACACAGAACCTGGGTCTTCTGAGCTGCAGTCCAACACTCTAATCACCATGCCAAGCTGACTCACAAAATCTATACCAAAATACAGCAGTGGCCACTGTCCTGGTTGGCTTTAAAATAGGTTCAGAACAAATAGGTTGTTCAATGGCTATTAGCCATAACAGCTGTGTGTGTGTGTGTGTGTGTGTGTGTGTGTGTGTGATTTACCCCCAGACCCAGCTTGGACTATCCAGATAGCTGGCTACTGTTGCGAGACAGAATTCTGGACTAGGAGGTGTTTTCCAGCAAAGCATGTATGTATATCAGTTGTGCAACATACAGTGCATGAGCAATGTGAAACAGCTTTTTTGACACAGGGTTCTTATGCTAACAGCTTGTGTTACTTGTGCAACAGCTGCTCCACATGAGGGACTGTGTTTCCCCATTTGGAACAGCTTCTCTGGATCACAGCCCATGGTTTCAGCTGGCTTACATCCCTGCTCTCACAGTGCAGTTTATTAGTGGACTTCTTAATCTTGTCTAGTCTGATGACATTATGAGATCATTAAAAATAAAATTGCCAATTTTTCAGAATGTACCATTTGTGGAAATGGAATCAGATGCAAAATATTACAGTACATGTATGGAAACATTATTCTTGTGATTCATACTTTTTCAGTGTCCTGTTTCCAGGTTTATATGGATACTAACAACAATATTTACATACTTTGCAGGACAATCTTCTACATAATAATCAGAAGTAATCTCACTAAGCACTAGACTTCTCTCAAATAAGTATGCACAGGATTGCAGTGTTAATACAGCAACATCTTTTTATTCCTTCAAAATAAATGAAAGATGTCTCCTGCTATATGTTAAGCTAAAATGGCTCCTGCTGAAATACTTACTGTAACACAATGTGCTAGATTAGACTTTGCAGGCCCAGAAATTGACTGAGTTCTACATCACATTTTAGGAAAGGGATAAATATATAAAAGGTTACTAGAAAACATTACCAAATTAAGACCATTCACTTCTATGATTTTTTAAAATCAGAAAATCTAAAGCCTGGATTTTTTAGTAACTTGCTGGAAGTTGCAATTGCATTGATTTTATTTGAAGCAGCTTTTGGTGTTCACCTATTTCCTTAAAATGTGTGTTCTGCAGTTTGGAGAATTCAAGATTCAGCCCACATGTTAAAAGGACAAGTTCATGACAATAACTTTTTATTAAACATCTGAAAAACAGAAAATGTTACTTATCCTGTAACAAGTAGAAGCTGGTATATACATTGCTATACTACCATTATTTAATCCTAATCAAAATAAATGTTATTAAATGGATTTAGAAGGTTGAATATTAATGTACAATATGGCACATTTTAACCTTATATGCAATTATACCTGTATGGCTGTGATGCAGATTCATATCAGCTTCATTTCACATCAAAGCATACTAATATGATGTTGAATTTTATCTGCAGTGTAGCAATTATGAACTCAATCTTATGATAGAAAAGTAAACTAATTTCTTATTTAAATAGATAGTCTTCTGTATGCCCCACAGATTATTAATATTTTTGAAAGCCTTTGCTCCTTTAAAGTAGAATAAAAGCCAACTGTTTAGAGAGCTGCTTTAAACAGGTACACTTTTTGCATATTTTTACTACTCAGTCATTGCCAAATGATGCTGTAAACTTTTTTGCTGCTGCCTGTAAATGCTTTATGTAATCTGTTATAAAATCCAATCAAACAACTACAGATTTACTTGCAGCCTCGAAGATGGAAATCCACGCCCAAGAAGGTACAGGCCTTTTCGCAGCTGAGCCATTCGACACAAAGGAATCAAAGAAAGGAAGTAAGACTAGTGAGCTACCATTACTTGATGCCTTAGTTCCACAGCCAGCAAAAACAGAGACTATAGAAACAACAGAACCACAGAGCAAAGGAGAAAAGAAGACACTTCCAACTCTGTTGGGACAGACTTTGGATACAAGTTCACAAAAGGAAGAAGACAGAAGTTCTATAAAAACTGATACTGATTCTACTGACAAGTCACATCTGCATGAAGAACAAAAAGATTTGTCATCACAATTGCTCAAAGAAAGTAAAACAGATGAACAAATTTCAGAGGCCCAGAAACCAGCTGTTGAAGTACTACCATTGAAGTCTAAAGATGATCAAGCTGGTATTAAAGACAGTGACTTTACCTCTCCTGAAAGCATTGCTTCTTCCTCACCTTCAGAATCTAAAGTGGACATAATTGACACTATTAAAACTGCTGCTTCTGAAACCTTACCATCTGTTTTACATAAATCTGAGGCAGATGATAGTAGCAAAATATCTATGGCTAAAGAAATTGCAAAAGACTTTGCAAAACATCAAGAAATGGAGAGTGAACAAATTAAAAAACAGGAAGAAATTGCAGTGGTGACCACTCCTGCCTCACAACCAATTAAGGAGCAAATACCCAGCCAGAATGTTCCTGCTTGGGAGGAAGAAAAAGATATGACAGAAGATGAAAGTGATGAAGAGAGGAGCTCCATTTCCAGCGGACAAAAGTCCAGAGTGTTAGATAGTCAATTTTTGGCATCTGATAAGCAAAAAGCAACTGTTTTGGATACAAAAGAAATAGGAAAAGAAGCTGATCCTAAAAAATCATATAATGCTCTCAAAGCAGAACAGTTGGATTCAACACGAGATATTAAAAAAGAGGAAAAACACAGTGCTGAAGACAGATTCAGTGAAGAATTATTTCTTGAAAAGGTTGAGGAGCCTTTAGATAAAGTTACATTGCCTGAAACAAAAGAGAAAACCCCTCCTGAACCCAGTAAAGACTCTCTGCCAAGAAAAGATTCTGGAAAGGATGGAAAGGGGAAAATGTTTTTAGTTACAGATTCAGAAACTCACAAAATGCAGATAGAGGAGGATAAATCAGGCATGTCAACATATTTTGAGACTTCCACCCTTAAAGATGAAGCTATCAAGAGTGACCTGGTACAGCAGGGCAATGATTACTATGAACTGAGTGATACTAAAGAACAGTTGTACGACCCTTACAATAAAGATTTTCTTTTATCAAAAAAAGATACAGAGGAATATCAACCAGAGGCATATCAACACCCTAGGATACCTGCTCATGAAGTAGGGTATAGTACTCTTGCTCAGGGCTTTCCAGAAGATGAAGCCAAGGAATCTAGGTCTCCTACAGAAAGAATGTACACTATTGACCCAAACGTATATGGAGATAAGAGAGAACTCCACAGTAAGAATAAAGATGACTTAACCCTAAGTAGGAGCTTGGGGCTTGGTGGAAGATCTGCCATAGAACAGAGGAGTATGTCAATTAACTTACCAATGTCCTGCCTGGACTCTATAGCCCTGGGGTTTAATTTTGGGCGCACACATGATCTTTCACCTCTTGGTTCAGATATCATGGACAATGCTAGTGAGGATGAAGGTGATGATTACTTGCCAGCCACCACCCCAGCAGCTGACAAAGCTCCCTCCTTCCCAACAGAGAACAAGGAAAGGGAAGAAGAAGAAACAGAACAGAAAGAGAAAACAGAGGAGTCAACACTTAAAGAAGGGGGAGAAATCCAGGTGGAGCCTTTGTGTGAGTCCCCCTTTCTGGCTAAAGATTATTACAAAAATGGGACTGTCATGGCTCCTGATTTACCTGAGATGCTAGATTTAGCTGGCACAAGATCACGACTAGCATCTGTGAGCACAGATGCTGAGGTAGCACAAAGGAAATCCATTCCTTCAGATGCAGTTGTAGAGGACAGCAGCATAACCCAGCAATTCATGGCTGATGAAAACATGACTTTAAAAGCGGACAGTCAACTAGAAGATTTAGGTTACTGTGTTTTCAATAAATACACTGTGCCAATGCCATCCCCAGTCCAGGACAGTGAGAGTCTGGGAGGAGAAAGCTGTCCTTTTGACGAGAAAATTAGAAGAGGTGTAGTTGCAGACCTCTCATTAATAGAAGTGAAGCTGGCAGCAGCTGAAAAATCCAAAGAAGAAAAAGACATGTCTTGTGACTTGGCGATTTTGGGCAAGGACTTTGAACAGGAGAGAAAAGCTATTGATAAACTAGATACTGTATTAGAAAAGAGTGAGGAGCACACTGATTCTAAGGAAGGCTATTATCCTGAGGATACCAAACATGAAAAAATAAAGCCTGATTCAGCTTTAGAAGGTGCAGATGATAAACATCTAGTTGGACTGGAAGAGAACATTACTTCAGTAATGGAGAAAGAGGAAAATGCAATTCATGTTGCTGCAGAGGTGGGCAAGACAGAAATTTCCTGTAAACCAGACTATGATGCTATAAAGCATGATATGGATTCTGCAGCTAGGCAAATTGAGCAGGAATACCAAAGTAAGTTAGTTCATACAACTGAACATGTCTCAGAGCAGGGCACAAAGATTCAAGAAAAGACTCTCCCCACATTGCCCCAAGAATCCATTGCAAAAGCAGACTCTAGTCAAATGAAGGATGCTGCCAAGCTGTCTGAAGCTGAAGTTAAGGAAAAAGGGCCTAAGCCTGATCTGGTGCATCAAGAAGCAGTAGATAAAGAAGAATCTTATGAGTCAAGTGGAGATAATGACCAAGTGCAGGAAGGTTTGCCTGAAGAAACTTCAAAGACGTTTGGGGTCAAAATAGAATCCGAAAGCCCATCTCTGTCAGAAGAGGAGACTGCATCACAAGTGCTAGTAGAACAACCAGTTGCAGAAACACATGTGTCTAAAACTCCTCAAGAAGAAGAGCCCAAAATTCAAATGGAGATCATACCACAGCCCAAGGAAGGCCAGGTGGAATCTCTGGAGTTAGCTGACTCTCTGAAAACTGAATATTTACCATGTGATTTAAAAGATGAGACAGTAAGTAGAGATGCAGAAGGAGAAAAACAAGAGAAAGAGATTGATCAAGTAGAAGAACAGAAAGAAGAAATTAAGCAAATGGAAAAACAAGAGGAAGAAGTTGAGAAAGCAGAAGTATACGAGAAAGAGTTTATGGTAGGAGAAAAGCATGTGGAAGAGAGTATGATAGAAGAAAAACATATGGAAGAGAGTAAGATGGAAGAAAAGCATGTTGAAGAGAGTAAGATAGAAGAAGTACATGAGGAGGAGGAGAAAATGCAGGAAGAAGAGAAGGAAAGCATTAAACAGGAGGAAAAGATTAAGCCAGAAAAAGAACAGGATGAAGAAAATAGGCAAGAAGAGGAAACAAGTAAGCAAATAAGTGAGGAAATGGCCAAAGAGGAAGAGGAGGAGTGTAAAGCTGTTCCTGGAGAAATGCCTGAACTCAAAGGAGTAATAGAATCAGTTGTTACAATTGAGGATGACTTCATCACAATAGTGCAGACAACAGTTGATGAGGGAGAAACGGGTTCCCACAGTGTGCGCTTTGCTGAAGCACCACAGAGTGATGCAGGAGAAGAGGGCTTCCATCCTGAAGAAGACGACATGGAGGTAGAGGAGGCACCTGAATTTGAAACAGAGATGAAAGAAAGCTTTCTGGAAGCCCCTGGCTCACCTAAAAGGCAAGAAATCCCATTAACTGATTACAAGACAGAGATGTATGATGATTATAAAGATGAAACGACCATTGATGACTCCATTCTGGACACCGACAGCATATGGGTGGATACTCAAGGTGTGCCTTATCTTTTTTTTATTTTTCTTCCAAAATAATTTCCTAATAATGAAACAATAATGATTAACAGTGGATTCAGGAATGTTAGCATAATGTCAATATGAAGCAACCTGAATATATTTTTTTAAAAATCTGAAATCCCACCAAAGCACAATTAATATCTTTACTAATCCTATTTTTGTTGTTGTTATAATTTGCTCTGATCCTGCAGATGATGATAGGAGCATCATGACAGAACAGTTAGAGACTGTCCCTAAAGAGGAGAAGGCAGAGAGAGAATTGCGGAGACCGTCTCTTGATAAGCATAAAAAAGAGAAACCTTTAAAAACGGGGAGAGGCAGGATTTCTACTCCTGAAAGAAAAATAGCTAAAAAGGAACCTAGCACAGTCTCCAGAGATGAAGTGAGAAGGAAAAAAGGTTCATGTAATACTTGGTCTTTTTCCTTTCATGCCATACTGTGAGTTGTTCAACTGTTTTACAAGAAGAGCATTCTAACAGTAATGTCACACATCCCAGTCAAGAATATTCATCTGTGTTAACAGCAAGGCATGCAGTCTATATGACTTCCATCATTCCAGATTTATGCTGGTGATACTCTCTTGTGGATCAGGTAAATAGTCTACAGGCGATTCATCTGGCTTCTTAGTTTCATTAATCCTCAAAAGATAACACCAGCATAACCTCTCATCTGTACCTTTATTTCATGAGTGTCTTGGATAACCCCCTGACAATATTTCCATCTCATCAGTTGCCAAAGACCCATTAAGCAATCTCCCTATGACTCCCATTGTACAGAAAGGGCAACTGCAAAGGGGATGCAGATGCATACTTTCTAAACTGGATCATACTGGCCAAACCAAAGTTGGGTCTAGAACCTGCAGATCTATCACTGAGCTAGAACACTCTTCCATTGTATATAATGGTGTGAGTCAGCATACTCTCCCTGAGTGGGCCCCAGAAGAGCCTGTTACTGACAAGTCTGGACATGGCTAGGGCCACAGCATCACAAAGTAAAGGCATAACAAGCATGTGCAGGATGGAGCAGGGATGTTTCTCCCTGCCATCATTCCAACATGACCCTATGCACTTTGAATAGAACATCCCTGGCTTGCAGGACCTCTGTCTGTGGTGGCAGATGGAGTGCCACCCTGAAGTGTGCAGCTGTATCACCAGCTGCAGCACCTCTGGGCCTTGGTAGAAGCAAGTCCTGACTCAGCGGCTCCCTTGGCACCAGCAGCCAATATGTTGTGTTGAAATATATTTCCATTTCTGATTGTGTTATTTCTGATTGTATGCTCTTGTTTTCTTATCTATAGCTGTGTATAAGAAAGCTGAACTTGCTAAAAAAACTGAAGTTCAGGCTCACTCTCCCTCCAGGAAAATCATTTTAAAACCTGCTATCAAACATACTAGACCAACTCATCACTCCTGTGTTAAACGGAAGCAGACAGGTGACTGCGCTGTCTTGACTTTATGCAACGTGGCTGGCAAACATAGACATTTCTCTTGTTATTATTTGTAATCTCATTGCTCAACTGGCTGCTCTAGTTTTTAATTTTATTTTTTCCTGTAAAACTTTTTCTGCCATCATGAATGAGACTGCTTTTTTGGTTCCTTTCATACCATGCTCTTTTTTATTTTAGTTTTTTAACAGAGGCCATGATCATGTGTGTTTGTCATGCTTGGACTTTCCAAATTCTGTAGATGTTTCTTGGCATTGTGGTTTGACAGTGGTGTTGTAGAAATCTTTCCATTTGGCTTTGTTTTGTTTTACTTCTTGTGTTACATTTCATTTTTGCTCTGTTTTGGTGGGAAAGTGCTAATGGCTTTAAACCATGGCTTACATTTTTTCATCTATTTCCCTTTTTTCCCTCTCATGCATAATAAGAAGAAGCATTTCAGCATTGTTCCAGCTTGTATTTATATCATGTGCATCAACTCTTTCAAATCTATGACTGTTTTATGTATTAAACATCTTATATGTTAAAGCACAAGACCTGCAGGGCAAATTGAGCTCTGTCATGAAGACAAAAGAGAAGAAGTCTGCCATCGGAACAATGGACATATTCAAACAGAATTTCCCGGATACTAATCTTTGTTTGCAATGAGGAACTTGGAGAATCTAAGAGGAGAAAATGGGGGTGGGGGTCTTGTAACTTGTGCATATTGTGGTGTTTCTTTGCAGAATGAGGCTCTTGGGCTGTGCTGTGCCTTGTGGGCAAAGAGTGGATAAAGAAATATAATCCACATGGAACTACACCCATGTGTGTTCCTGTGAGGCACAAAAAGGGATTGTGTTGGCACAACTATCAGTCGTTTTCATAAGGGTCAGTGTCAAGGGTATGGATTGGGCATTTGCCAGGGGTCCACATCCCTGCAAGGCCCACTGACATGGACCCTTACCCTTGGAGTTGTTCCTTCTCTCACAAACATCCCATTCAGCTGCCTTTTGCCCTAGAAAAGGCCAGAGTGGTACTGGGAAGGGGAACAGCAGATGCCACTGCTGGCTTGCTCACTGGGTCTCCATGTGCCAAGCAAGAAAGTGAAGGCAGCAGTAAGAAAGAGGGGAAGCAAGAACAGCTGGAGGCAATGATGATAAGGCTGACCTACAAGGTGTGGGGGGAGCACAGGTGGTCAGAACCTGCTGTTGGCACTGATGTTAGTTCCACTGACATGAGAAGAATTTAAGGGAAGTGTGTTTGCTCCATCTTTCACTCACACAAGCTATCACACACACACTTTGTTGGCTTCACATTAGAGAGAAAAAGAATGAATGCCATCCTTACCTGCTTTATAATGTTATATAAAAATTTTTCTCCTTTCATCAGATGACTGCTAATTCAAGGAAAACATTTTTTTCTAGCAATACAGAAGTGTTGGAACAAATGATTCAACCCAGCAAATTTTTGTAAGATTTTGTCTGTTTGGAGGGGAGAGGGTGAGAACACTTCCTGAAGATTTGATTAATCAGTAGGGGACCAAATACAAAGACAGTTAAGAAAGTGTGTGCATGTATACAGAAAAGCCAGGTATTTATCTTTCCCACTTTTTTAAAGCAACTTTTCCCCTAAAGGGTTTCCCTACAAAGTGTCCCAGGAACACAATCCCACTTCATGGTTCAGCACATCTCTAGAAACTCAACTATGGTTTAGTGTTTATGGAAGCTCAGCCATCAAACCAAATTATGGCCAGTGTGATGTCTGAACTGAACATTCCTGTGGTCTATCATAACTAGTGGAAACAGCAAAGAATAAATGTGGCCAGCCCACACGGACTAAATGTGTTTTGAGACTGGGAAGGAGAGTGATTGCCTAAGACTTTTCAGTGATAGGTGTATATTCTTAAAAACAGACTGCCAGATACTCACTCTTGCATCTAAATACCCAGCAGTCTTCTTGGCAGCCTTGACTGCTGCAGTCCTAGCCAGGGAGCACAGTCTTTCAGCATAAGGCCAGGTAATGGTTGCTTTCCACTTCCAGCACCTGCAGTTGCTAGAAAGGCAGATGAAAGAACCTGCTGGTTTCGCTTCTGAGCACCTGATTCCAAAGTCTGTGTGAGGGAGAAATGGAGAACCAAGAAGCTGGCTGGAAGCCTCCATCTCCCCATCATAAAACAGTTGTGCAATTTTCACTGGGAATTGAATCCAGCTGATAGAATTGCTACAGTCCTCATTCTATTAGAGATGCCTCATAGCACCTGACTACACAGTTCTGCTATGACATTTCCTAACATCATTCTTATCATCATCCAAAGCAGGCTGAGTAAGGAAGGGTAGGTAAGAGGCAAGGGAAAGCTTACTTCTGTCAACTATTTGGCAACTCAAAATTACATTCCCCTCTCAGGGAGGAAGGACCCTGGGTGAGAGGTTATTTTGAACAGACAAATGGAAAGCAAAGAAAAGGTTCAACAGCCCTCCCCTCTGCGAGAGAGAGAGAGACTGATTTCATTCAACCTGAATCCACATGCACAAAATTCCAGTGTAATTAGTATTAAAAGTGAGAAAGAAATCATACAATTTATGCAACGAGTAGCCCACTATACAGGCATTTTTGGACCTGGGGCATAAAGTGTGGCTTTTTTCACTTTGGTTTGTAATATGACTATAAAACCAATGTTGGCAAAGATGCCCATTTGGCATTGTGAAAAACTTTCCTCAGCATTTCCCCCCACATGTTCAGATGTCACTATAAAAACATGCAAGAGCCAAAAGAGTCTCCCCACTAAAATTCCACCCTTGGTGCAAGAAGCAGGTGTCCATGTTTAGATCTAACTACTGTGAATTATCACTCACTATAGAAAATCAGACATATGCTTAATTCCATAGTGAGTGATTTGGGTCACGAGCAAAGCTCAGTAATCATACATCAGGTGGTAAAAAGAAGTAGTAGATGTCGAGGATTTATCAAGCTACACTTTCTCTTTTTCCATTTTTACATGGTAGGTTGTCACTGTTCAAGTAGCAGTTCTATTCCCTCTGTTATCAAGTGGTCAAAACAACAATTAGGTTCTGTTTAAAGCATTTTTATTTCAGATAAAATCTCCGCTGTGCATAATATTAATATCACAGTACACATATGCCAAATCTGGCAGTGTCTGTCAGAGAATATTATTGATGAGCAAAATGTGAACTGTTACCTCCTTGCTCTAATAACTTAAATATAAATTCAAAATTATAAACACTGTTGAAATGTGCTAAGTATTGTCCCTCTGCATACAGGCTATATCAATGAAAGTGTAGCAAAAGTTCAGTCTGGAAGTACTGAAGGCCTTCTAGCTCTTGGAGAAAAACAGCCACTGCAAGAAAGTTTATGCTGAAGGAGACTGGCAGATATTGGAATAGTCCAGTGCAGAACAGCCAGAATCTAACTACAAGTAGCTGAGCATATTAAAAGTTATTTAATTATGTTGAACCATAGATGATATGTTTAAAAATAAGCGCATAGTGCTTGTCAATCATCCCAGCCCCATTTGTGAAAATGCTAGAAGCCAGAACATGCATGCTTCTATTTCAGCCATTAAGCAGAGTACTTTTAGCATGTGCGTCATTCTATCTATAATGTCTGGTACCAACACTGAGGCATAAGCCATGGCAAGTCACAGGCTTGGCCACTCCCCTCCCCAGTTTTTATTCCAAAGAAGGAAATGGAAACCACCTTTGATTTTAAATTAAGCATAGTTTCACATGATGTTTAAACTTGGGACATGATGGTTTGTTGTATGACTAAGCCAGGCTCAAACACTTTTTCTGATCTTGACTTTTTCTCACAAACTAGCACAGTCTTCCCCGCCCCAGTACATGCCACATGTTTTAAACTAAATTCCCATCATTACTTATGGAATCCTGTGCTAGCTGGGGATGATGAGAATTATAGTTCAAAATGTCTGGAAGGCATTGTGCTGCAGAAAACTGAACTAGAATTTAAATGAATCATAGTTCCCTTACCTCAGAGGTCACTGGGCCAGGGCAGGGGGGCTGTTGTTAGTTTAAAATTAGAAGCAGAAGCTTTGATCTTCTATGCTAGAACATAAAAAAGAGTAGGAAATATTCAAGCCTGAGGCTAACTTGTGTTGCATATGCAATGGGTTTCCCATTATCTGAGTCTGGCGTATGAGTAAAAGGGATAGAGACATTTTTTAAAGCTAGGGATGGAAAAAGTGAGTGTTCCTCTCTGTGCAAGGGACTGTAGGATCTTAGAAAGCTAGCAGACGATGCCCTGCTTTAAAGCCATGGAAAGAGTGCAGATAGGTCTTTTTATGACTTTACTAAGCCAGTCTTGCTTTTGGTTTTCATGGCTATTAACTGAAGTCTTGTACTTCCTAGTTTCCAAACAGGAATAGGTTTGTTTTGTTTATGTTTTTGTTTAGTCACTAAGTTGTGTCTGATCCTTAACGACCCCATGGGCAACATTCCTCCAAGCTCTCCTGTCCTTCACCATCCCTCACAGTCCACCCCAAGCCCACACCTGCCACCCCAGTGACCCCTTCTAGCCACCTCACCCTCAGTCATGTGATAGTTACATAATATGATAATAGCTTAAATACCAGGATTATGCAGTGCCTGTCTTTTGTATGCCTAGGTTTTCAAACTGTGCATTTTGAAAAGGCAATAATGATTACAAATCCTAGAATCTTCAAAATGTTCTATTGCATACAGAATGTGTCCCATATTTTGGCTGTTTAGTAGGAGAACCCTACTAATTACATATTTAGACACTAATAACCCTTAAGAGAGTTACATTTTTATAGCTGCAATTTTAAACATAATTACCTAGACACAAGTACAGAATTGATTAGTTGGCCTTTCTTCTCCCATACTAGAGACATTCAAGAGTCAGCTGGACAGCCATCTGAGGGGGGATGGTTTAATGTGGAGTCCTGCACTGAGCAGGGGGATTGGACCTGCTGGCCTCCTTGACCCCTTCCAACTCTACTCTTCTATGATTATAAACACGCATAGGGTTGGGTTGTATGAAGGGCAATACTAGAGCTAGGTTTTAGAAAAAGCGAACTTTTAGATGCAATTTCAGGATACCAGATATTGTTCCAAATGTTGGTTCTAGGTTGTTATTCCTCGTTCTTGATCCAAAGGTTTAAAGAAAGCGTTTTATGTCCTCACCCTTACCTGAATGTTGTCTTTGTTCTTTATCCGTTGATTGGTTGAAAGTGTAAGACTATGCTTCCTTTGTGACATCACTGGATTGATATCACCGGGCAAGCAGAAGCATCAGGCCAGGCTATGACCTGAGCCAAACATGCATTAGGTTTGTCTTCCTTATCTTAAATTTCATGGTGTGTACCCCAGAATCAAACATGTTTCATGCATGATTAAACTGTTAGTCAAGCTCCAAGGGACAGGGTGAAGCCATGATCCAGGTTTATTGTTCAGATGGAGGACTTGTTATGCTTTCAGGTAAGTCATCCATATAGTTGTGCCCCCCTCTTTCATATTAGTGAGGAGGGCTGCTGTCTGATCTTGCAGGGGAACCAACAGTTGACAAATATAAAGCAGGAAGCTTGTGGGGGGGCATAACTTGCCCCTCCCAATGTCTCCAACCAGAGCTGTCCTTTCTGTACTCTCCTTTTGCGTGCCCCTCCACATATCAAAGAGAAATTTCACTCATGCCGACCCTTTACATTTTGTTGCAAAGCAGTGGAACACTGCCAAATTAAGCCTGCTGCATTTGCCTTGCCAATAAGAATCTATCATGGCTGCTCTCGACTCCGATTTGAGAGAGTTTGGAGAATGGAAGACAGGAAAGCCTTTTGTTCTCAAATGCTGCCTCTGCTGGCTCTTAATACATAAGCCATATCCTCTGCTACAGTTATGCTTCTTTGGAGTCCAGCTGATGGGCAGCATGATAGTGTGTACATTAAGCCTTGTTCAGCCTTCTCACATGAGGACAGCCAAGCCCTGCACCAGGCATTTCCACTCCTGTGCACTCAGTCCCTGCCCTCTGAAGGGGGTTGCTGTTCATTTTCACGTGAATGCAAGTAGATACCTCTGTGCAATTGTGCAGAAAGCCTCCTTCTGACCTCCCAACCCAAATGGAAGGTTGGAGACAGAATATTCAGGGATCTTTGCATGCGTCTTTTTAGCCCTGGCACGAGCAGGACAAATCCCTGGCTAAAGATACGACGAAGATGCAAATCTGGCCAGTCTTTCCCAAAGAGTAGAAACCATTCTAGAGGCTTACACAGTGCATAGAATGTTGGAAATCCAATACTGCAGAGTCCAGAGGAGGGCAGGACTGCCATATGACCTGTTAACATATCTCCAGGTGCTGCCTCCTCTCTCTGTTGGAAGCTAACTTCTCGCCAGTCCTTGTTGGGAGCAACAGAGCTCACCCAAACAGCTTTTTGGTGCTGTGTGATTTGTTGGGTTTCTTGTGCTGTTACAGCTTTCTTTAGCTGAGAGGAAAGGGCAATGTACTGGGAGAGGGGGCACCTGCGTGATAGAGGCTGCCTCCAGCCGAAGGCCATCACACAGAAGCAAATCTCATACCTCTCTCTTCCTAAAGGGGCATGGGTGATCACATGGTATTAGGGTTCTTGATGGCTTGAACCCCAAACTCACAAGTTATCTTGGAAAGCTGTGATTTTTACATCCTTACTCAAGATGAGGAAAACTGAAGAGTATTCCTTTCTGATTTGCTAATTCTGATTTGTTCTTTACTTAGCAGCAGATATGGCTAATAATGGTTTCATTTGCTTTTAAAATTGCATGGCTACTGAAAGGAATATGTTAAAAGTTATTTTGAAATTACTATTGTAATTAGTATTTCTATTGTAAAGCATTAATAGCCTTTTTGTTTATTTTTCCCATGTGTATCTAATAGCTGCTGCTGGTGAAACAAACCAGACTCCTGGGGTGTTTAAGCAAGCAAAGGAAAAACTTTCTGTGAGTAAAATTGTCTTAATTATTCATGTCTGCTCATTAATCCTTTGCGTTTCAGGTGATTTTAGGGTCATTTTATGAATAATTTAAAGGAACCGTTTGCCAATTTTCTGTTTCACTTTGGGATTAGTCATAGATTATTAAAACTTCCTAATTGTTGCAGAGTGCAAAACTGATATATTGTCAAATTATGCAGAAATTACTTATCCTAAGTATTTGATTTTCATTTCATTTAATCTGATATAACCACAATAACCCCAGTGGCATTATTCTAAAATAATTTTTTTCTCCCGTCCATGTGGAACACACCAACCCACTTTTCCATGGAAGTACTTGGATTTGAGGTGCACATTATTCCTACACTTGGTTGACAGTACTGTTCTCCCCAGCTTTATGGGGGAAAACTCTGCTATTTGTTCTGCTAATGATATGTTTACAGTTGTATTTTTATCATGATTTTCATGCTTTAATATTTACTTCTCTCTTTAAAACTATTTGAAATGGCTGTTTCCAGATTATTTTAAAGTGTTTATCATTGGTTCTATTATATCTGTTTACTATGTATGAGAGCTTTGGCTCTAGGGTACCATTATCTTCATTATTATTATTATTAATGCCAGCTGCCGTCATGCACACAAAATTAGGTTTTCTCCAAATGCTCAGAAGGCCAAGGAGTTTCAGACCCAGGCAACAGCTGGCTAATATTTAGCCTCTGGAGTAGCATCTTGCCTCTACTACCAACAATAAATGGATGTTTCAGTTAGCAAAACTGGAGATGAGCAAGTGTGCAAAGATGAGAAGAAAAAAAAGGAAGACTTGATCCTTCCTGTTGTCTTGCCTTACCTCTCAGTTGTCTGAGACATTTGGCCATAGCAAGAAGAGGAGGAAGAACCACAGACAAAGGGAGGTATTTATGACTAGCACAATGCATAAGCTTTCTTCAAGTTTTCCACCTCCTTAGTCTTCAGTGCCTTGCCTTTTTGACCTTTCTAGAAAGATGTCTTAGGCAGCAGGAAGGGAAAGATCAGCCTTGAATCACCTTCATTCCAAGTACATCTCTTTAAGTGGGAGATGTTCCACTGCTTGATTTTTGTGTGGCGTTCTGCACTATGCAAAGAGAGATACTTATTTTGCTTCAAAATTTCTGAATGACATTAGGAGTCACTATAGTGAAATGTTTAGAACCAGAACACATTTGTTGCTAGCTATGTTAATGAAAGCTGCACAAAATTGTGGGATTTTGAGGCCAAATTCTTACATCCCATTTCCACCAGAGCTTGCTTTAAAAAGAAATGCATATAAAATTTTATATTAGAAATTATATAAAATTATATAAAAATTAGAATTTTTTCTAATATTTGCATTAGCTTGCCTACTTCAAACATACACATTTCGGGATGAAAAAGCCCAGTTAAAGCACTTTTTTCAAATGTCTGTATTTTGTCAAACTTTTTCTGTTCTGTTTTGTGGAAGGCTTTGCACAGGGCTTTGCATGGCTTTCTGACTACAACTTCTGTTCAGTTCTGTATTTGGGTCCAGGAGTAATTGGGTAATTCTATCAGTCTATATATCCTCAACAAAATGAGTTTCTTATACATCCCTTTATAATATGTTTATTATATTGCCCAAAGTGTGTAGTTTGAGCAGCATATGTGTTGTTTCTGTGTTGGTTCCGTTCATATATAAAGTGTGGGGATGTCCATTGGGTAGTGTGATGTTTAGAGTAAATGGGGCATGTAGGTGGAGAGGGGCTGAATCTGGCCTCTCCACCCCCACCCCCTTATGGGGCCACTTCTTCTCACTGCAGGAACTTTCCATGAAGCAAGTCAGGCTGGAGGAAAACATGGCAGAAATAGGCAAATTAAGATTGGAGAGAAGACAGGATATAGCATGTCTCCCACATGCTATTTTGTTATAAAGGTTGGACACCCCACCTTTCTACTTCAGTGGGGCAAGCAGACATGTGAAGAAGGAGGAAGGAGGCTGCTCTATCCATCCCCCTTCCATTTAGTTTAAGAACGTGTTTGTGAGTTTCACCAAACTCTCAGCACTTGTTGGAATTACATTTCACCTTGTTCTGTGTTAGAGGCCATAGCTTTGTAGAATGGGAGGGAAGATGCCAAGTTTTACAGATAGGAACATGCTGTCAGGGTTCCCATTCATACCATCAGTTCAAGTGATAGTTTCCAAGCAATAAAGTAGCTGATAAGAAAGCTCTCTCCACAAAGCCAAGTTGTCATCTCATATTCCCAATTGTTATAGGGATTTGCTCTCAGGTTGCAATGAACTTCATAGGACTTAACCTGCAGAAAATATTAATAGAATTGGGACATCTGTTTCTTTAAAACTGTTCTTTTTCATCCCCATCCTTATAACCCTACACATTCTCCTTACTTCAAGCTCTAAACAGTCTTGATTTAGTCCTGTGCCTACCTTCTTCCTTTCTTGAACTCGTAAACTTGTCAAATCTTATCCTTATTCTTGCTGTTACAGAATAACAAGGCTACTCTTCTGGAATTTATTCCCACTGCAGTGTTTCAGGTGCCCAAGTTCTCTCTTTTTTAATACTGTTGCACAATTTTATTTTCCACTGTTCTTCTCCTTCCCCATGCCTTTCTGATCTTTTATGTATTCTGATTTAAGTAGGACGCAAGTTGGAACAATGGCAGCGCTCTGATTTGCTAATTTAAAAATAGAATTTTAAGTGTATTGAAATTCACACAAATATAAATACAATTTAGTCTGGCAAAAAAGCTAGCATCTGTATGGATAGCCCTTAAGGCGCCACTTGTGAATTACAGCAATAATGGGTTAAACAGAGGGCAGGGGGCGCTTTTATGTCTTAAATGCATAGCAGGGCAATATTTCTGTTAGGACCAACTAGAATTCCACAGAAATGTGTAAGCTTTTGATTTCTTCAGTTAGGTGGTACAAAAAGGAAGGGGGTGAGTGACAGGAAAGTCCAAAAAATTGAACAGGTATTGTAACAGGGGCACTGCAGTCTCAAAATTCAGATTTGCAGTAGGAATGACATAGGTGTTGCTGGGATCATTTTACACCTGTTCTGAGATAGTGAAATGATTGCAGATCTCCATTTCTGAAAATTCAAGGACCAACTGTAAATCTGGCCTGCCTCTTTTCTTAAGTGGTTTGCACACATTTCTGAGCAGGCATATAGCAGAAGTGCAGAAAAACATGACAACCTTGTGTTTATAAAACCAGAAGTTAAGTTTAGGTAGTGCAATTGAAGCCACATTGTATTTTTATATCTTGCTCTGGAATGTGAAAGTATCAAACCAAACAGGCTAGCATCATTTCCACATTCACATAATTGGTATTGTAACTTTAATTACATGGAACTTTCCTTAAGGCAAAGACCACAGTTTCTTCAGCAGTGAGCAAATATCAGTATTTAACTTGTTACTGTGACAATCAGTACCTGCATGATACTGTTGACGGAGGCATCAGGGAATCCTTGCCTACCAGGAATCTTGCTGTGAGCTCATCCACAGTTGGATTTGTTCTTACTGACCTGTTTCTAGCACCTTTACAAAAATACTGAACTTAGACCATGCCTGAGTTTGTACAACCCATTAACCAACCCCCTTGGGCTGGCTTTCCTCTATGCCTAGCTGGTGATCAGCGGTGTGTGCCTCCCACCCCTCCTCTTCCCCCTCCCTCAGTCCTGCACAAGCACCAAGGTGTCCCCTGGGCCACTGAGAACCATTGAGCACTGGCCACTGATTGGCTTTAGAAAAACAAGTGCCTTTGTGCTTTCCACACTTGGGAAAGTGACAGCAACCCAGGGCCACACCAACACCTCCCAGAATGCCTGATGATTCTGCTGCAAAGGATATTTTGCACACCCACACATCTTAAAAATCTGAAAAAAGTAATTAGCGGTGGGCTACAAAGTACATAAGTGTTTGTCTGATACAGGGTACATGCCCAATTGCAAGTAATATTTAGCTATTTTTTAAGGTGCCAGATGGAAAACACACTTTCCAATAGTATCCTCAGGAGCTTTTTCTGGTGCTTCACTTGGCTCTGGGCTGCCCTTATTCTTCCAAGAGTGGATAACAGATGCACAAGCCCCCTAAACCTCTACCAAGAACCTGTAGAAAACTGTTTGGGCAGCCTCATCCTCAGTTCTCTCTTCCGTTCAGTAAGATCCTGAAGAGGTTTGTGTGTGTGTGGGGGGGGGGGTTCTAGGAATCTCCTACTGCACCCTCAGTTTTTCATTGAACTCGTGAGTGGACAAAGCATTGGAAGTGGCAGAAGCTGAGGGAAAGCCCAAGGGAGGAGGCATATAGCAAGGTTTGTGATTTAGAGGGACCAACCTGCCCCTTGCAGAAGGGATTCTCCAATTGTCTCTCTACTAGCAGGGAGAAGAGACCCTTTGTGGTACCTGGAAAAGACAGTCACTCACTAGCCCTTTGGCTATATTTGCTAAAGGGCTGTCTGGTTTTTTGACTTCACCATGGCTTGCTTTGTTGTGTGGCTTCAGACTACACAGTAAGCCATGGTGGGTCTATTGAAAGCTTACTACAAACCATGGCTAGTGGGTGTGGTTTAAAAACCTTCCTGTGGGAAAAACACTGGCTCAGGCAACATACTATAAAGCATCGTGTCTTATAAACCGCCATGGCCAAATGTGTTGTGCAAACCCAGCCAATGGCTCTTAGAAATACAGTCTGAATTTACCAGAAAGAGAAGAGAGAAATGTCTGCCCAGCAATCACAGGGATGCAAATTCAGGAATTTGCTTCATCATGTCCTTATGAGCATTCATAAGAACAGCTGCCATGAACATGATAATCACATTCCATTCAACAGATTATTAGATTTGGATCAAGAAACCTACCAAGGTGCATATGGGAAGCCAATAATTAACAAACAGGGAAACAATGGTGTGAACCTCTGGCTAGGAGTCCATAGCATGTGTACGGTTCCCAGGTCCAGGGTCAGAATAGAGCTCTGAGCTTGGAGATGGGGGTCTGTACC